TATATATATATATATACATGCAAATTGATGAATCCCGAGTGCAGAATTGCGAGTATGTTTGTTCCACTGCAACTTTGTGACGGTCGTCCTAAAGCATTCACGCAACCACAAACGTAATATTTGATGAAGAAGGTATATATGTTCAGAGGAGTACTTACGTGCTCCAGTCCCTTCTGCTTCACACATGTTCTGGTATGAGTCCCAGCGGATCAGCGGGTCGGCGGTATTGTAGTCCACAGTCACGTCCATGCCGTTATGCCATCTGTCAGCACCTGAGGCCAAAAGAAACATCAAATCTAGCAATGACCTCCCTTCACTACAATTTAGGGAATACTGTGCCGTAAACTCCCCCCGAAAATAATAAAACAAAGAGCAATGCAAAAGTCATCATATCCAACTGTGTTCAAATCCATCATCTATGTGTGCAGTTCCCATGTCCAAAGAGATTTATTTGTCTTAGACATCTTCATAAGAAAGCTGTATTTCATATTTGCTTGGAGCCAGACGATTCATCCATGTCTGACACGGAGAGCATAAATCTCTTCATTTAAACAGACAAAGGACTTTGTTACCAAATTCTTCACGATAGTATTGATTTAGCCCTTTCAGGGACAGCGGTTACGACATTGGACAGCTTATCATGTTATCAGGTTACAGGGTGTATTCAAAGGGTTAAATGCTAGAATTTAGCAACGGGGTCGACACGGACCGCTCTTTGTGACTTTTGCTCAATCTAGTCAGATCAAATCAATTCAAACCATCCCAATTTTGCTCCTTTGTAGTGCCATTCCACCAGCATGATGAACGAAATGGAATTGTCAGATTTATGCCCAAGAAGGGTTTTCATGTTTACTGGATTTATGCCTTCAACTACGCATTCCAACACACATACAAATTAAAACTGAAGTTTGTTGTAAATGAACGACCCTGGTAAAAGCCTTTTTTAAATGCCTTGACACTGCAGGGGTGTCAAACTCATTTTTGTCGTGGGCCACATTGTAGTTACGGTTTTACTTGGAAGGCTGTTATGACTGTGAATTTTGTGAAAACATAAATGTTCAACCACCTCCACATATTACATACACAGCGAGCAACAAATAGATGGCGAACTAATTTTGACATCAGAAGTCAAGAATAATGGATTGTTTAAACATTGTAATTATTACATTATAGATGAAAATTTGAAATTTTGGTCTAGACTTTAGCAAGCATCATGGAAGTTGACATGCTAGAATTGCTTACACGGGCCACATAAAATGATATGGCGGGCCAAATCTGGCCCCCGGGCCTTGACTTTGACACCTGTGCTTTACAGGCATGAATGAATCTCATGATATTGTAAAAGTGTACCGTAGGTTGCAGCTGGTGTGTGTGTGTGTGTGTGTGTGTGTGTGTGTGTGTGTGTGTGTGTGTGTGTGTGTGTGTGTGTGTGTGTGTGTGTGTGTGTGTGTGTGCAGCACACTTACACACAAACACACTTTTTCTCTATTTAGGCTCCAAGGAAGTACATGCTGGGCTTTGGTATCTCTCTGTCAACACACTCAAAACTACATTTGTCATTTCGCCTCTGCAACATCCCACTCCCTTCATCACCCCCAGGGAGGCAGACCAAGGTGGTATGAACACGGAAACGGGATCGAGGGGGTGCAGGGACTGTCTGTTTTTCCTACATCAAGTTTCTTTCGTTAGTTTGTGACTAAAGGAGCAAAGGGCTTTGAAAAATCTTTTGGAAAAAGGCGGACTGGAAATGGGTTGGAAAGTTATTACCTCAAATTCGTGACGTCACAAGTGTGACGTCACAAATTTTGTGAGACTTTAAGTTCGTGAGCATCTAAATGATTGTTTTTTGTTTTCCTTTGGCTTCTATGTGTTCTTCACCACAGAATCAAGACCACCATTGGCAAGGAGAAAAAGTGTGATGGTAACCATAGAAGAGGAAATGAAAACATTACTGTGACATAACATCCATATTGGCACCAGTAGAAGGACAAGTTAGGCTGTCCCTTACTTATAAAACAGCCATCGGGCCTCTTCAAATGGTGAGTTGGTTGACTTCTTTTGATTAGTTAGGCGTGTATGATTAGTTAGGCATGTTGTAATGACCTGTTTACCAAAAACATTGCCTGTGTCTAATAAAATGTAGCTCCGGGATGGGGAACTTAAATGACGAGGGTGGCCACAATTTTCCATCAGTGCCAATGGGGCGGGCCACACAAGACCACACAGTTCCTAATGAGATGTGTGACAAAACATCTCTTTTTAAATATGAGCAAAATCTCATAGGTGCGCGTGTCTGTTTTTTTAGTGAACAAATGTACGTCACAGTCCCTTAATATATTTTATGCTCAATCCACGTACAACGATCTAGCTTTTGACCGCAACGTGTGAACAATCTAAAAATAACCACATCCTGTGATTTTTTTCCCCCCCTTCTGTTACAAAGGGCTTTCGTGCAGAAAAATTACGATTCAAGGAAGGCAAAAAAAAAAAAAAATGCTGAACAGCATACCAACATTTAATGCAAAGACTCACTCAATTAAAAAACCTAAAAATTATTCAGGCACCATGTTTGCCCTGCATGTCATTCCAAAAGCACAAAAAATGTATTTGGCCAACTCATATTGTAAGTGATGTCTGCCATCGAGTGGTCACTGATGATAAAAATAATAATAATAATAATACATTTCATTTGCAAGCGCCTTTCACAACACTCAAGGACACTTTACACCAAGAGCAAATAATAAAACCACAGATAAAATTATAAACAAAGAATAGAAAGATTTAAGGTGGATATGCAAGTCTGAATAGGTGGGTTTTGAGCTGGGTTTTGAAT